CATCTTCCTTTGCCGTGAGGAATTGCTTCTATACCCAATCTCTTATTTTCTCTTATGTTCAATTGATTATGTTTTCAAGCATTATATCCGCTTTCTTGAGCAACTTCTCTATTTTACTCCCATTCCCAATATATTCCATGAAGAAATTTAAACAGAAGCGAAAATATCAGCAGCACTAAACCGTTCCAACACCAGCACAATTTTTTATGCACAAGTGGCAAGAAAGCTTCGTGGGGCGTTCCGAAACCTTACCAAATGCAGACCTTAAAGTAATGGCGGTTGGATAAAGATAACACCCGCATCTTACTTATATTAATCTTCCGGATAAACTGCGAATATTGATCTAATAAAATTTATGTCTCCTCTTCTCGGATTGCCTCTAACCATGTGTCTAGACCGCGCGTACCATCCCAATCCCGAATTTAGTTATGATTATTGTCGCTTTGGGGGCCAAGGCCCTCACGGATTTGTTTTTTGGGCATCTCCCAAAAGGCCTCAATACTAATGGGTTGGGTTTGAACCATTATATTTTTGGTTCTCTTCTCCATTTTGTTTCCCGATGTGGGACTTAGGAGGATATCCCAACAAACCTCTCTCTCCAACCAAGGACCACACAAAATCGTGACCTCCCTCCAGGGATTAATCTGCCACCATCTTGTTACCGCCGCTAGCAACTTTTGCGGACACGCAGCCCGACCTTCCTCTCCCTGTCGGGGAAAAGACTTTCGACACAAGGCACCACTTGCAGATCTTCTTCTTGGTTTGGCCCTGTTGTTACAATGTCACACCGAATTTTCTTCACACTGCGCATCCGCTGTTTTCCACACCCGCTCCGAACTTGGGCTCTGATACCACTTGTTAGGACCGCGCGTACCATCCAATCCCGAATTAGTATGATAATGTCCGCTTTGGGCCAAGCCCTCACCGGATTTTGTTTTTGGGCCCACCTCCCAAGAAGGGCCTCATACTAATGGGTTGGGTTTGAACCATTATATTTTGGTTCTTCTTCTCACATTTTTCCGATGTGGGACTTGGAGGGATATCCACACAAAATGATCTTACGCGTTTTGCTGCTTTAATAGCTCAAGCGTACAAAATCTTACGCATCTGTCTCCAACTATCGCCGTTAAGGGGCAAAGCGATGTCTTTGAAGTTATAAAAGATAATTCTCCGCTGCAAGGAGAAAAGGCCTTTGGGAGAAAACATTGTCGTGAGTTTCATTAACTTGTTTTGGCAGCTTCGGGCGAAGAAATGGACAATATTGGAAATTTGGCCGAGCTTGAGAAGGCATTTACAGGCCGTATTGGTTTGAAAATGTCTTAAATGGTGATGGGGGAGAGAGCGAGAGCTGATGGATGTCTTCCTATTATTGGTAGCTTCCATGGGCCCTGGGCTTTCAATTTGCAGAGCGAGTTTGTGCGGTTATTCTTTGTAGAATAAAGATGAACAAGCAGGAAAGTCGAACAGGCTCGGGAAAATGGCGCAATTGTTGCAAATACTCCATTTTAGAGTAAAAAAGACTCTGTGCTGGAAAAGTTGAAAATATAATCTCTTACTTCCTCTCTATATATAGAAAATTCTCAAAAAGTGGAAAAAGTTTTACTTTTTAATAGAAAAATTATATATTTAAAAATACATAAAATATTTATAACATCCTTAATTATAGAAAAGTCTATTATTATTAACTGCTTGAAACTATAAAAATAAGTATCAACAATTATTTTTCAAATGGAATTAAAAAAAATAATAATTATTCTTAATTTTTTTTTAGTTTTCAAATTAATTACTTAAATACAGAAAAAATTAAAAATAATTATCACAATTGAATGTTACTTTTATATAATTAATTAAAATTAGCATGGAATATTAGTGTACTTATTTATATGAAATTATTATTTATATTTTATTATTTATATTTTAATAAAAAATTACAAGTTATTATATTGTACATAATAAATATAATTAGTGTTTGTTATTTATTTTTGTTAAATTATTATATCAAGGGTGCTATAAGGAATAAAAAAAAAGAAATTTTCAGTTAAGAATTTATTCTAAACATAATTTTGTGGAATTCAATTGAATTTCTTATTTTAAATTGTAGCATACCAAACATGAAAAATTCGTTTACAAATGAATTCTACTTGAAATTTATTTACAAATAAATTCTACAACCATGATTCATTTGTTCCAAACAGGTCGTAAAAGTTATTAATAGAACTGATTAATCCATAATCCTTAAAAATACCTTATTTGTAAAGAAAATATAATTTTTTTTTTTCAAAAATTAAACATATGTGGTATATAGTGGTAATCTATAATAAAAACAGTGATAATTAAGATTACTAAGTGATATCCCTAATTGAAATTTAATTACAACTTTCATATTTAGAATATTATTATAAACTTACAAAATCTTACGTTGTAATGATGAGTGTTTATATAATATTGATTCTTAATTTATTAAATATGTTTTGTATGATGAGTTTTTAATTTAAACAATAAATCTTACCTTGTACGAGTTTTTAATTTAAACAATAAATCTTACCTTGTACAATAGGAACCCATGAGATTTTGAAAACCTAGTTAATGATATTTTAAGCTCTTAATTGTTGAACATAAATTCATCGTGGTCAAAATAAATGAGCTTTTGAAAATGGGGATAATAATAATAATATCAAACTATTGGTTATTGGAGTCAATGAAGTGATGATGAAGGTTTTATCATTCTTGTGGATGAAGAAATTTGTGTAATGGGAGCTACAAGGAAATGTTGCGAATGTGAATTATGTGAATGATGTGCTTTCCATCCTAATAAAGCCAAATTGGGGGGTTGGTGGCCAAGGTTTAAAAAGAGCTAAAAATTGGGTTTATGGTTCCAGTTCTGATCTTATACGTAGCTAACCAAATTAGTCTTTTATGTTCAGGAGAGGTGATTTGGTTCGATACTGAACCGATTTTTATAGTGTTTGGTCCGATCTGTACAACTCATTTAGTCAGACTGAACCAATTTGATCCGGTTCAGCTAAACCAAATGCTGACCCCTCAGAGCTAAGCGACAAAGTTGATTGTTTGTGCATAATTGTGATTAGAAATTTGTAATCAAGTGGAAGATGTGACTAAAAAGGAGTTTCAAAAACCCAAATTCATTAGCTCAGGAGATTGATTTACATATATAAATCACCATAAAACTGTTGTGAACGTGATGATGGATGTTGGTTAAACTATTGTTATACATCCCAAAAAATTATATCTTAACACTATATCAAGCTTAATAATAATACGAAATCCATAAAACTATATCAATAATAAGTAATGACAAACCAAATCTAACACGATATCTTAACACTATATCAATAATAATTTTGTGCTACTTAAGGAAAATCCCTTTGCTACTCTATTTGGGTAGATTTTGCAATCCCAACCTATTAGTATTTGCTTATTATAAGCTGATAAAGCTTGTTTAAAGTTAGTATATGGTTCTCTTGTTCACCAAACCAACGAAAATATAGATTCTTTAAAAATTGTTTCTACTTACTTTATATTTTCCCTAATAAATTATTAGGAATATCACGGATTACGTAAAATAATTTTTATTAGTTTGATATATGGGCAGGACATCAAAGGATTCCGAGTATGTCATTCTCATCATGAGTAGACTTTTCTTAGAAATAATAATTCTAAAATTTTGCCAACCATGTATAATTTGATTGGTTTTCTCATTGGTGTGAGGAGTGAGAGGTTTTCAGTCGGGGTCCTCATAATCATAAGAGTTTTCATAAATTTGGTGTGTCGAAGGAGGGCTGCCCTGTTGTTTAGCCTATTATTATTTCAGTTTATTGAGTCAGCTTTGTAATGAATTAAAAAATAATTTTAAATTTTTTAATGGAAGAGGTAAAACTCTTTTAATGGTAGCTACGTGCCGTTGTTTTGTCTATTTAACTATTACAATTGGCATTTTAGGAGGAAATGAAAAAAATTATGCCAAATATTATTATTAGACTTAAGAAAATAAATTATAATTAAGGTTGGTGTTTTGGTCACATCCATCTCTTTCTCTCGAACCATTATATGAACAACTTTATCACTTCATGTTACTCTGGGCCACTGGTTATTTATTTAAAACGTGCATATAGTAGTAATGAAACAGTATTTGAGGATCTATATGTAATGACCTCTGGTTAATCACCTGATTTGATATATTTTTTTTGGTGCAAACTAACGGTATCCGGATTCTATTACCATCCTGCAAGTGCATTTAGTAAGATCGAACCTGATATATAGTTCTTCTTATATGTCCAGCTTGCGTTGCTAACTGAGTCATAATTCGTAGGTTGATTTAATATCTTTTAAAGATTATGTTAATAATAATCAGAAATCTCGACCAGAATCATGTTTCTTCTGCTCATTTTTTTCAAATAATCGCCCAATAGTTAAGAATATTGGTTTTTGAAGGGAAATACCATTGGCTTACGAAGTGAAAATTAGTCGAAATTCCTGTGCAATATCAGTATAATAATTTCAATACAAAACGTAAATTAAGATGAATCTGTTATATTATTGACCATGACAAATCGCCTTAACATTATTCACGTGTTACATTAATTTAAGCATTTCGCTTTATCAAATACGTGGATTTCCATGTATCAAATAAAGAAAATAAAGATAACATCTATTATCTTATTTCCACGGAAATATATTTGCTTAGATCGAGTCTATAGTCCTGCCTATAGATCAAATTAATGAAAATAAATTTAAGAAATACTCTAATTTCAAGAAAAATTCATTTTTCATTAGTTTGTTCCATAAGCAGGTACATAGACTGAGTCTAGCTAAGTCAATCCCATCGCAAAGCGCAAAGACCTATGTATATATTTCAAGAAAAGATAACTAATGCTGCTCAAACTGCTGGATCTTTAAGCAGGGAAGCAACATAATCTTTTATAACATGAGAATTAGTGTATCCATCTTCATCTTTGTATATAACATCCATTGTAATGCTGCTCAAACTGCTGGATCTTTAAGCAGGGAAGCAACATAATCTTTTATAACATGAGAATTAGTGTATCCATCTTCATCTTTGTATATAACATCCATTGCACGCGTAAGATTTCAGAACTCGCTCTAACAGAGCACAGGAACTGGAGTTGGCTTTAGGCACTCCTCATTTAATGTCCCTTTCCAATCCATTTCCAAATCTCTTTCCGAAACAATTCTAACCTCTCTCTGAACCACCATTTGTTGCTTTATGTAAACATTCAAAAGGCGAAGCACGTGTTCTCTTTTTTTGCTCAAACTTATATTAAATAATATAATTTGCCACTCAAACTATAGACGCATTAAAATCATTATTGAAATATCATAGAATAAAATGTTTAATTAACCGTATGAGATGTTATAAGTGATGTTATATCGTCCATAAGTCTGCAAACAGTAGCCGAAGCTCGAACAATCTTAGGATCATTAGATACCCATTCAAACGCATATTTGTTAGCTATTTCACCCATTCCGAATAAGGAAGTTGTTGCGAGCAATGGATAACAAGTAGTTATTAATGAAAGGTCCATATATTCCTCCATTGTTGGAACATACCCATTGTCGCGCCATTTGGCTTCAGCTAAATAAGATCGGACAACTCTTTTAAGCTAGGACATACAAAAAAATAAATGAAACATAAATAAAATTAGTATAACATAATAGATTCAAGATTCAATTGCAAAGGCATGAAAACCAACTTTCGAAGATTCAAATTGCAAAGGCATGGAAAAAACCAACATTTCCCCGAAGATTAACTTACTGCTTCTTTCACAAAGGCATGAAAACCAACTTTCGAAGATTACTTACTGCTTCTTTCAAATAATGCAAGCAATATAATCTCCCTTCTTTAGTAACAAATTCTTCGATTTCATTATAGACATCTATTACTGTATTAAAAATAATTTTCATGTACTCTGGAAGTGTATCCTTTTCCTTAATATTCCACCTGAAACTTAAAAAATCTCATCGAGTTAGAATATGTTTGGAATTATTATTAATAACAGGCTTTAGGCCAAAATAAATTTTAGTTTATTAGCCTATGAATGTAATAACATGTTACAATATAGTTTTTTTATGAGTTTAAAACTAATTCGCAAAAGAGCTTGTGCTCAAAACTTTTATTGTAAAAATTTATAATTCATTGGCTGATAAAATCCTTAACTATTAATTACTTGTTATAAATCTGACAATATATAGCAATAATATCAAATTAACTCTTATTTAAACATTGAGCCAAAAACATAATAAATTGACATGGCCGCGGAACTGTTTTGAGCCAAAAACAAATTGTATTGAGCCAAAAACAAATTGTAATTAAACTAAAACAGGTTACGAATTGATAGTTAAAGGGCTTATTCAAATTTAAAATTTTAAAAATTTCGAACATAATAAATTAGATGATAAATTAATTAAGTAGTTAAATTAATGAGTTAACCTCTGGATGGCTTCGGTAAGGATCTCTAGTTCTGCACATGTACCATAGTTGTCAAAAGTATCATCGAGTAGCGATAAAGTGGCTATGACTCTTGTCATCATCCTTCTTCCAAATGAATGTTTGGGTTCAAAATAAATTCCCATGATCCAAAAGTAGCACTCCACCACTCTATCTCTTACATAAGGCAGCTTTGTTGGTACGTCCAAGTTTTTCCACCACCTGAATCACAAGTTCGCTTCAAGGTCAATCTTTCCTAAATCTCAATAGAATAATTTACTTGTAAGCATATGTCACATACACGGCGAATTTACTTGAACTTACTCAGAGACGGCCACGTAGTTCCTTCTGATGTAGTTGTTGTAACCTGTTGAAATCTAACTTCGCAAACTTTAGTAATGTACTATTGTGTGATTTCTCCCGTTTATAGACTTCAATATAATGCCTTGCCTCTAACCTTGGCAAACATTTGCGGATGGGTCGATTGAGGGCATGGCTAACTTCATTTGCGAGGTCAGAACTTAATTGAGGTAATAGTAATTGGAGGTTTGTGGTGGTGAAATCTATGGCTTCATCTAAGATATCTTCCCCTTGAATGCCAAGATGTGCTGCCTCGTATAAACTAAGCATACCCATTACATCATGAGTTAAGGATTCTTTGAACTTTCCTTCACCATCTTTAAATTTTTCAAAGATATCTGCAAAATATATCTGCAAAATAAATAACAAGAGACTCATGGATCGGATATGCCCTGAATTGATATCTTTCATTTTAAATGTTCCCCATGTACCTATATTTCTTCCAAAAACAGAAAAACAAGATTTCTTACCACATGAAACCTTAATGCCGTGCTGTCTAAGCAAACGAAATTGAAGAGCAACGGTGCAAAGATCATTGCTGTCAGTAACGCAGTGATGATGATGAAGTTTTTCCAATGCCCTTTCTATCTCACTAGTAAAATGATAACCAATGCCTAAGCGTAGGACTGCATCAATCAAAGCCAAATTTGGGCTACCCTCACTTAACAATCTCCTCACTTCTTCTCTTAGTCCTTCAAATTGTTCTTCACTTGAAATAATGCCAATTTTCTGCTGAATCAAAAGATACAAACGAATTAATCCCATCTAAAACGCGAGCTAACACGACAAAATGATACGCATAAAACAGCCATGTCATAAAACAGCCATGTAGAAGAAATTAATACTTAACCTCGGAGTCTGAATCATGACGTGTGAAGAAATGATCCTCCCAAATTTTTGGATGATAATTAGCAGAAGATCGTCTAACTTCAGATGTAGGAACTGCTGAAACTTGAGCAGACATATTTTGCTTACTTCTATGTTTTATTATATTTTGCTTGTGTTAGCCAAACGGCTCCCACACGCCTTAGTATTTATAGGGAAAATGTCTTTAACTTGTGTACTTGTGTTTGAGTATGAATCCAATGACAATCTTATTCTTGTATTAAACGAAATTAAACTTCGGATGAAATTTTTTATTGTCTTCATAACAAATTTCAGGTTAACAATTAAATTCTTTTTTATATTTTTATTGAAATAAATCCTTCTAGGTATAGGACAAGCTTTAGAAAATAGCTTACCTCAAGTTTTTTTTTTTTTTTTTTTTTTTTCTTTTTACATAATCAGAAAGGGTAATTCCTCTTGGTACGTGAATATATAGTTCAAAGTTTATTTTTTAAAGATACATTTTGATTTGGGCTTATTTCAGTTTATCTCAGTTTATCATTTCTAATTAATTTTGGTCACTTAAAAATTTCTAAACTAGTATTTGTATAACAGTAGAATCGACTTGCTCGTTAAATAGAATTTTTAGTAAGTGGATAACCACGTGGAAGACACGTTGTATTTTATTATTATTATTAAAGATTTGAAATATCCCTCTCCTAGTTGGCTACGGAGCCCTAGAATAGTATTGCATTATAAGAAAATAACATTTACTTGAATAATTTAGTGATGTGGAAAATAATTATGGTTTTTTAGACAATATGTTTGTCTTGTTAGAGTTGGAATTGACACATAATTAAAATATTTGTAATAAAAATAAAACGTTATGTTAAGAAAACAATATATTTAACCCTACAATCAAATAATTTTAGATTTGGTCCTGCCAATGTAAGGATCCAAACTTGGCCATTCAATCTCAACCTCCAATAAACCTTGTCTATAAGGGCTTAGGTAGGAATGAATAAAAAATCACATTTAAATATAGGAAAATTAATTATTTTGTCACTAGATTTTATAAAAATAATTAATTCTTCCTCGGTTTGTTGTATATTAAATAAATAGTCGCTGAGATTTTGTTCTGTCTTGTTAAATAGTCCTCTCATCCTCTTTTAACCTCAAACGAGTGTAAAAAACAGGAGAGAGGAGAGGGACATATTTTCAAATGAGAAATGATATCCTTAATTAGATGAAACCGAATCAAACCGAAGGAAACTAACTAAAGACCAATAATTTTCTATGAATCGAATCAAGAACTATTTAAAGCACAAGAGTAAGGGCTGAATCGAACCAGGATTATTTAAAGCACAAAAGACGGAACCAAATTTCAGAGACTATTTATCTAATATACAAAAACGAGGATGACTTAAATAATTTTATAAAATCTCAAGGTAGAATAATTATTTTCCAAATATAGCGATTTTGATATAATTTATTTTAATTTACTAGTATATATATATATGTGTATATATATATGAACAAGTATAGCCATCATCTCATTTTCTGTTAAAGGCACTTAAATGGTTGTAAAAAGAACTGCACTTTTTGCATTTCGAATTATGTTGATACTGTCGACCTGCCGCAACCCATGCATCAATCATACTGCAATTTTTTTTTTTTTTTTTTTTAAATTTTATGATAACGGTGGAAGCTGCATTATTGAGATGCTTTTCGGATACATAAGCAATTTGCTAATTCTTTGTTTTGTAGTACTAGTGTCACATTGACAATTTTTTAATTTAAGTCAAAAAAATTATTTATAAAAATTAACTATTACGTAGCTAATGATCCAATCTATTTAACCTCTTGAGAAAATACCTAGCATTAATTTTAAATTATTCAAAGCATAATCTGCAACATCACAATTTCAAATATGCAACATAAAATCCCATATCTTTTTAGCATACTTGACTGGGGAAAGGATTGTATGGAATGGGAATCAAGTGTAGCTCATTTTTTCTCCTAGCTGCAAGTCCAAAAGATTCAGACATGTCTAATTGATGTGGTTCTATTCCACTGGGCAGTTTCCAATCAAAATGGTATAACAGATTTGCAACTGCAAGCTCAACAACTGCCATTCCATATGCTATACCAGGACACATTCTTCTTCCAGCACCGGACACATTCCTTCTTCCAGCACCAAATGGAATAATTTCGAACTCCTTCCCTTTAAACTCGATAGAATTGTTCAGCAAATCTCTCCTGGATAAAATTTCTCAGCTTCAATTCCAGTAAAACGACTCCAGTAACGACTATCTCTTCCGATTGCCCATGCATTAATAATCACTTTGGTGTTGATTGGTACTTGATACCCATCAATCTCCACTGCCTCTAGACATTCTCTCGGAAGAAGCAAAGGAGCTGGAGGATGTAATCTCAAAGTTTCTTTAATAACTAATTTCAGGTACTTCAATTCATCAAGTCTCGTTTCATCTATATTTTCTTTTTGATTATATACCTGACTCATCTCTTCTTGTGCTTTTTTCATCACTCTTGAATCTTTTACCATTTCTGACATTGCCCATTCAATTGTTGCAGCAGATGTTTCGGTTCCAACCACGAACATGTCCTAAACAATAATAATGATTAAACTTTAGTATATATATATATAAATTTTTACTCGCAGAACAACTAAATATCCACGAACATGTCCTAAACAATAATAATGATTAAACTTTAGTATATATATATATAAATTTTTACTCGCAGAACAACTAAATAATTACTCGAGCTTAAATTCTCAGATCTGTGATAAATAGAAAAATACCCAGTAGTGATTATACTCACCAGCATGACTGCTTTTATATTTTCCATCGTCAAGGGGAATCCAAGATCATCACAATTTTGAAGATTTAAAAGAACGTCAACAAGATCATCTTCTTTGCCCTCAGAATTGCTTCTACCCAATCTCTTATTTTCTTAATCTCTTATTTTCTTTATGTTCATTAATTATATTTTCAAGCATTATATCAGCTTCTTGATGCAACTTCTCCAATTTACTCCTCATCCCAGTAATTCTATTTAGAAATTTAACAGAAGGGAAAATATCTGCAACACTAAAACCTCCAAACACCAGCACACTTTTCTGCACAAGTGGTAAGAAAGCGTCGTGGCGTTCTGAAACCTTACCGAATGCAGACTTTAAAGTAATGGCATTAGATAAAGAAAACACCATCTTACTGATATTAACTTTCGGTAAACCATAAATTGATCTAATAAATTTTGATGTCTCCTCTTCTCGAACTACTCTAAATGATCTCACCCGTTTTGTGCTTAATAGCTGAAGCGTACATATTTTTCGCATCTGTCGCCATCCTTCGCCGTAAGGGGCAAAAGCGATGTCTTTGAAGTTATACAAGATAATGTCCGCTGCAAGCAGATAAGGCCTTTGAGCGAAAATGATGTCGTGAGTTTTCATCACTTTTTTGGCAGCTTCCGGTGAAGAAATAACAATCTGGGAAACTTGGCCAAGCTTGAGATGCATTACAGTGCGGTATTTGTTTGACAAATGTCTTAGGCGGTGATGAAGCAGAGAGCCAAGGAGTTGATGCATGTTTCCTATTATTGGCAGCTTCCATGGTCCTGGGGCTAATTTCCGAGAGGAGGTTTTGAGTTTCCTTTTTAGAATAAAGTTGAACAAGAGGAAAGTGAACAAGGCTGGGAAAATGGACAGAGGAAAGTGAACAAGGCTGGGAAAATGGACGACTGTAGCAGATGCTCCATTGTAGAGAGACTGTGTTTTCATTGATAACTTATAGTACATATATAGAAAAAGTGTTATTGTGTGGTGATAGCTAAACTTTGTACCGAAAAGTCACGTCGGTTAGCGAGAGCCACTCCTTCACAGGTAACCACATTAATTGCAGAATTACATCTACAATTTTTGTAATACCTACTTTGTCCTTTATGCATAATACATGTAGTGATATAATTATACTCAGAATCGACTGAAATTTTATATAATATATTAAAATAGACTTACATATATTTTGAGCACCTATCAATCAAATCAACGAAAATTAATTTTTTTTTACTATTATATCATTATTTTAAATTGTAAAATTTAAAATATACACACAAAAATATTATAAAAACCATTAATAGAAATATAAATCACATTTTAAGAATTTATTTATTCAAACATAATTTTATTTGTTTTATTTTGCTGAAACATTCAAACAATCATATTGCTTTTAGCTTTGGCATCTATTCATAATTAGGCTATATTTAATTTAATGTAATATAATCAAAGATGTAATATAACGAAAAATATAATGTAATTGAATGTAATCAAAATTTCATTATTATGTTTAATAATATAATTAAGAAAATTTATAGAATGTAATCGCCGTTTGTTTATAAATATATAATGTAATTAGCACACCACCACCACCACCACCACTACCACCATCAATTACTCCACCTCTATCACCACCACAACTACCACTCTACCACCATCATCACCTCAAATACCACTCCACCACCACATCATTATTAATACGAAAAAAATATTTATCTTTATAAGATCATTAATAATTATTAATTTAAAAATACTATACAAAGAAAAGAAAAAAAAAACTCAGAAATTCTAAAAAAGCAAATATAGAATGCTAAAAAAAGCAAAGCGTCAAGTAAATATTTTTAAGATATTTTTTGCTAGTGATATTGATTATAGAGAGTAAAATATGTGCCAAGTTTTTCTACAAGCTAGAAGTTAGGCAATAAAAAACAATTGAATATGCTGATCGGGGTTTATTATGACAAGATTTTCGCACTTTTTATATTTACTTAAAACTCTATCAATTATAAATGAATTCAAAATGTAAAATTCGTTTTCAACTTTTTTATTTTATAATAAAATTGAAGTTGTTTAATATATATATTAAAATTTTGGTCTTAATAACTTAACGAAAGTTAAAAAATAACTTACATATATTTTGAAGTTATCTCCACCTGAACGAGTTGAAGAGGCGATTCATTGCTTGCCTTCTTCCTCACCAAGTTCATACAACTCTTTCCAATTCCACCGCTGGACAATAAAGGATTGATTATTCGACAGCCTATACTGCAGGACAAATAACTCCCCGCATGGTACTATTATTGAAAAGATAGATTAGATAATAAGGAACGTCACTACTTTCGCTTAGTAATTAATTGAATGCAGGTGGCAGAGAGATTGATTGCTGCTAGACTTGGCTCTGGAACCGGAACCGAACCGAAATGGTCCGGTTTCGGTTCCGATTTAGAACCGTCCGGTTCCGGTTCTGATTTCGGATTCCGATCCGATTACAAAATCGACGGTTCCGATTGGTTTTCCGACGAATCGCATAATTTTAAATTTTGAATGCCAGTTTAAAAAAAAAATTATTTGAACATAAAAAATTAAAAAATACACTTAAAAAATTTTAAAATTTGAAGACCGGTTAAAAAAAATGAAAATTATTTGAACATAAAAAATTAAAAAATACACATTAAAAAATACACCTAAAAAATTTTAAATTTTGAAGACCGGTTTAAAAAAAAATTAAATTTATTTTTTTAAAGACTTGAACTGTTGAACATAATTATTTTTTAAAAAAAAATTTTCAACTGAATTTTTTTTTTAAAAGTTTAAACATAATTTTTTAAAAAAAAAAAGGGCTTGAACTCAATTTTTTTTTTGTTTTAAAAAAAAATTAAGTTGCCTACACATCATCTTCGGGTTTAGAGGAATCAAAGCCCACGTAGTTCTTACTTACCTTATACCAATTTCACCCCTTTTACCTTAATCGTTATTTGCACCACACCGGTTTGATGTTCCCCGTTGAGGACTCATCGTTAAATCAAATTAATCTTCATTTTCCTTTTGGAATTTTTCTTGGGCTCTTAGTTCGCTTGGTCCCAATCATCCACGGCATGCTTGTGCTTCTAGTGATCGGGTGTCTACGAGATCGTGTTTTTCCATAAGTATGTTTCCTCTTGACTAAAGCTTGTTCAAAACCGCAACAGTGAGAGACCGGAGCTGCTAAAATTTGTTTGCAAGTAAAAAAAGAATTGGAAAGTAATTTGCCGTGACAACTCTACCAAATCTAAAATTGGGAAAATCAGTATCTGCATAATCCACACCAAACTCAAAAAGAAAGTTGTTAGATAATTATCAAACCAGAAATAGAACTGGATTCCCTTATTTCTTTTTTGTCTTTGTAGTAAAACTGTTGAGCACACACGACCACTTACCCTTTGTGTTGAAATTGTGGAATATTATGATTGAGAAAGTAGATGAACTAGAAACTTGAACAAATTCATTATATAATTGCATAATATTTTGTTTAACTTCATGCATTACTACATTTATATTAACATTATCTTCTACTACATTTATATTAACATTATCTTCTACATCAAGATTCAATACTTCATAATAAATAGTCAAATAATCACATAAAACATCCATTCTACATCTAGGATCAAATATAATAGCAACAAGATAAAGGGGTGCTATATTTTTAAATAAAATAAAATAACCATTTTTTTTCATTGATAAAACACAATTTTGTAATATAAAATCATTTTCAAATTCTTGGAGTACACTAACAATATTAATGTATATAGGCAAAAATAAATGCGATGTGGGATAATAAACCCCACTAAATTTATAGGTAGCATCATTAAAAATTTTAAAAATATCTAAAATTTTTGCACAAATATCCCAATTGTGGATATAAATTAATTTCTTCAATATTGTAAGTAACAAAAATGCAAAATAATTCTTTACACGAAAAAGACTCGTTCAATAATTCATATGTTGAATTCCAACGAGTTGAGACATTCCTTGGAAAATGTTTTGGTCTTTTATTATTTTCTTTATAAAATTTAGCACAACTTTTCATCACTAGGGGATGCCCCCATAAATATAAAGTAGTTTTTCTAATTGGAGAAATATAAGATTCAAGAACTTTTAAACTATCTTGTACACATAAATTTAAAATATGGCAAGCACATCTTATATGAAAAAATTTTCCACCAATATTTGGTTCACAAATTGATTTAAGTGCAGTAATTGATTTAGTGTTAGTAGAAGCATTATCAAATGAAATTGAAAAAAATTTTTTTTGTCAACTTATATTCATCTAAAATTGAAATAATTATTCTGTACATATTGTTTGCAGTATGTTTATATCAAAAGCACGAAATGCAATAATTCTTTTTGGAATTTTTCAATCATCATCAATCCAATAATATGTAATGCCATATAAGAATGCATTTGCCAATGATCACTCCAAATATCATAACAAATTGAAACACGAATTTTCATTTCAGAAAATAAAAGTTCTAACATTGAGAAAATAAAAGCTCTAACTTCTTTTTTTCCTTGTATTATTATAAAAGAAATAAATAATTCGTTTTACAGTATTTCTTGGTACTCTTTTAGCAGAAGGATTTAAAGCTTTTTGACCAATAAAATTTATTACAACCTACTTTTTTTCACCAAAAACTAAAGAATAAATGTTCCATAGAAATCAATTTTTGCTAATTCTTCTTTTTGTATTTTTTTTTCAGAATTATTTAAATAAAGAAAAGGTTAGAAGGGTACCCCGGAAATTTGTTGTTGAGACCGGACAACTCCTATTTTTGTTGGGAGTTTTGTCTCCCAAATGCTTCCAAAAATGATCCATAGCCGCCTGATTGTTTAAATTTATAAAGATTTTTACAATAATTGCAATTACATCGTACATTTCTCACCTTTGAATTTTTTTGGTGAAATAATGGAGAATATTGTCGGAACTTTGTCTTTTGCTCTTTGTAAACAATTTTTGCATCGTTGCTTCTTGCTCTTGCTCTTCATCTTCTTGAAAATTGCTCATTAAATTCAGATTCCAATGAGTTGGAAATATCCAAATTTTCATTTGAAACCCTCAAATTAATTGGTTGGGAATCATAATCAATAGATGTCGTTTGTAGGGATAAGAAAACCTACTTTTTCACCAAAACTAAAAGATAAATGTTCCATAGAAATCATTTTTGCTAATTCTTCTTTTTGTATTTTTTCAGAATATATAAATAAAGAAGGTTAGAAGCGTACCCGAAAATTTGCATGGTAAGAATATAGAGTAGAGTAGAGAAGAATAAATGATTAATATAGAGTAGAGTGTAGTATATGGTAGAGAGAGTAAGTAGAGAGTGTAGTATATTGTAGAGAGAGTTGAGATGTTTTTGTAATGAATTTGTAAATAAAATGAGGTATTTATAATAAATCCAAAAATTCATTTTTCTAAAAATACCCTTGAAACTAGCCGTTATGTAGCCGACTAGCCGTTATGTAGCCGTTTCATGGTTGTTGGAGGGGTAATTGACATTTCACAACACAATTTAAAAAAAAAAACTGCAGTTTCCTGACAGTTACAACGGCTAGAACCGCCGGTTCGAATCGGTTCGAACCGGCGGTTCGAACCGGCGGTTCTAACCGGACGGAGAATCGGCGGTTCCAGTCCGGTTCCGACCGGTTCTCTAGAACCGCCGATTCTGGTTCCTTATTTGCTGGAATCGGAACCGAACCGAATTTTTCCGGTTTCGATTCCGGTTCGCCCCGGTTCCGGTTCTCATCGGTTCCAGTTACGGTTCCGGGCCGGTTTGAACCGACGGTTCCGGTTCCCGGAACCGTAATATGGCCAAGTCTAATTGCTGCCATCCACGAATCTTCCTCTCCTGCAATGGACATGTGCTTCTTTATTTCTTATCAAGTGGACGATATTTTAAGGTAGGCGACTGAATCAACTTTACGCTATCAAAAAGGTTCATTTATTA